AATTGTTGGCGGGTCTATTGACATTTAAATTTTTGAGAGTTTTATGTGCGGTAGATTTCACTTGAGTATTTAAAATCATGCGACATATTTATTGGAATTTAAGCTCAAAGTGATTAATTTTGGAATTTAGGGGTTTTTTGAGAGTAAAGGCCTTTTCTTATTGACATTTTCTTTACTTGGTCATCTTTCGGGGTTGTTTGATTATTTTATTTTGTTGTTTGAATCATATAAACTTTGATTACTTGTTAATGGAGGATCAAGTTTTAATATCCACTTTATGAGCTGTCATAAAAGTGTTAAACTCGAGAATTTATAGTTTATAATGATTTTTTTTAATAAAAAAGGTTGAAGGCTTAGTGCAAAGTCGTAAACCAAATATTATCATGAATTTGGTAGTCGTTTGTCATTCGTTAGAATAAGATTTAAAAAATGATTCTATCATAGTGAACTACGTAAATATTCAATTGCTAGTGTATCTCTTAATGAGATTTAACTTATCACTTCCAGCCATTTCAAGAGGATGATCAGATTTGGAAATGAGACTAACCAACTTTGTGCCCTTTGGGAAAGAACGATCTGCTTGAGAGTATCGTGCTGTGATAAGTTTTATTTTTTTAAAAGTGAGGTTGAATTTCCTAAAATATCACATGATTTTAAATATTTGCATGCTTTGTGAGGCGAAGCAAATATAAATTCTTATATTTTTAACTCATTCAGGGATTTGTGTATTTGGTTGGAGTACATATAGGGTACTTGATTTTAATAGTTTGATATGTTGTGCTTTCTTTTGATGCATTTACCAACAATGTGCTTTCATTATTTTATTATTTGACATGTATGCAATGCATTTCACACTTGCATGATCTTTTGCACGTTTTCATAGTGCATCAACATATTTTTGGTATATTTGTACCACACAATTATGGAATCACGAACAAGATTTTTTTTTGTTATTTGACATGCCCTCTATGCACTTTGTCAAAATAGCTGTTGCAACCCGTAATGTAGCATACTTTATCTCATTTCAAATATTTTTATTCATGAGATGCTTGCTTCATTCATGGATATGTATTGCTTGTACAGAAAATTATGCACATTTTTTTGTGTTGGCTATTATTTAAATATTCATTTTTATTATTTATTCCAATACATAATCACATGTGTGCATTTAATTATTGTACTCCCATTTATATTGTTGACTTTTTATGAAGTAATAAAATATTGCTATCATCATTATATAAAAGAAGTTTATTTGTTTTATTTAAATTTTAAACCACCACCTCCAAAAGGCTTCCACATATAATTTGGTAACATGAAATTATAAACTTGGAATTGAGATTGAAAATCACATTCATAAATGTTCATGCCTCCACATTGACCCACTTCATCAGTTGCCATGAGGGTCGTAACGGAGACATTCATTTTTAATTTCATTATGTATCAACTGTTTATAAAACGTTACATGCAAATACCTTAACACTTAATTCGACAAATGGAAGCAATCCAAAATTTTATTGATTAATTTCTCTAAGGCAACTACCACTCCAAAAAACATACTATATAAACATATTTTACTAAGCTTAATACGATAATTTTTCTTATACTGTACATTAAGAAAACATATAATAAAAAAATTTACTTATTTCTACTCTCCGCCTCAAACTTATGCTTTCCCTTTTTCTGTAAAAAATAATCAGAAGTAAAGTCCGTATGAGCTTATGAGTGCTCAGGAAGATATGCAGCTCTTATATAATTATTCAAGTAAAAAAAATATAACTAATATATAGGTGTAATGACGTTTTGTAATTGAGCTATGTCTGCTTTCTAATATTATTCATTAAATATGTATAAAATTATCATGAATGTGCTATATATAAAGACTCATATAAATTTAATACTTCTCACATGAATCAAAAGATAGAATACCAACCATAATTCTACAGGGAAAGTAATATTATGAAGTTGTTTTAAATTTACTCTTGAATTTAATCAAATAGTTGTTTCAAAGGGCTGCAAGGGCTCTCCTCGACTTTTATTAAGACCCACGACAAAGCTTGTCTCTGTCCTCGATTCCTCTAAAAATCGAGAAACCCAGGCCACTGCTACTTTTCTACAGAACAACTCCTCCTCTCGGTTTTACTTGATTGAACTTCGAATACATCTCAAAGCCACTCAGCCTTGCCCCAGGATGCCCACGCAACTCCCAGCCACTTCTCTCCTCTCAAATTTTGAATACGAAAGCCCAACAATTCTTTCTCCCTTAGTCAATAACAGAAAAAATCCTAGGCGCACATGCTAGTAGCCGCCTTGCATTGTCTCCCTAGCTCGATCCTTTCTGGAAGAGAATATGAATGCCCTTCGACACAGGCCGCACGCGCCTCTTCTCGATTTCCCTCTTTTGTTTCATCCTGTCACACGCTTGAGGTGGCTCTCAGTTGCTCCAAATCGTGGAATTCAGAGAATCGATGGGTACAACAGGCAGGTTTTTAAGAATTTTAATATAATCTCAGCTATTGTTTCCTGATTTGAGAAATTTAAATTGGGTTAGGCTTAGCTGGGTGAGCTATTAGAGGCTCAATTTGGGTTCAAATTGGAATCGATTTGAGTTCACATCAATACCTAGATGGCTCGGTTCAATAAATGGTCAAATTGATCGATTTGAGTTCACATCAATACCCATATTGGCTCGGTTCAATAAATGGAGTCAACATGAATAAGAGGGGAGGAAGGGGAGAGAGAATAGAATTAGAGACATTGAGCAAAGAGGTGGCGACAACCCCTCTAGTACCTTCGGTGGCATGTTGGCTGAAAGCTATGTGCTGCATGTGGTGATGAGGCGAGGTTGAACAGGCGACAACTAGCCGAGCTACTAGAGAAAAAGAGAGAGAGCAATGCGATTGGGGCATGGCGACCGCATGTTCAATGTGGTCATGGGTATGGGGAAGATAGGTTTGGTAAAGCTTTTTTTTTTTGGCAGCATCAACTTAGTTATCTTTGATTTTTTATTGCCTAATACTATGATCTAAAAAGCATAATTAGTCTGGTTGTATTTTATATGAATATATTTAACCGTACATTATGTGATTTAACTTCATGCTATCCTAGAAAATTGTTCTCCATTTTAATCATCAACCTCAACTCTAAAAATTATATCCTTATATATTCATGCTTTTTTTGGTATTAGATCCAAGATATTTAACCTTTCTCTGTTAACCATCAATTGCAATCAAATCTTACTCACCCTAAAATTGCAATCAAATATTTGATTTTGTTCTACTAAACCTAAGTCCATTATTAGAGATGCAAAAGAACGAGCCGAGCTGAGTAGGTTGCTTGTTCATACAACAACAACACAACAACAACATCAAGCTTTTGTTCCCACTACGTGGGGTGGCTACATGAATCTTTTTTCTCCATTGTGTCTTGTTAAAAGTCAAATTCTCGTTTAAATCTAATAAGAAAGAACATTTCTAATAATTTTCTAACCAAGTCTTTTTAGGTCTACCTCTACCTTTCTTAACATAAGTCAAATCTAATACCTACTATTTTTTCCTAAGCGGGTCATCAGAAGTCCGCCGTTTTATGTGACTAAACCATCTAAGGAACCTCTCTCTAATCTTATCTTCCATTGGAGCTACTCCAACCTTTTCACGTAACTGCTCATTTCGTATCATATCTCTAAGGATAAACCACTCATCCACCTGAACATTCCTCATCATCTGCAACACTTAACTTAGTATCATGCTTCTCTTTTAATAGCCAAACATTCGACATTATAAAGCATTGCTAGTCTTACCACCATCTTATAGAATTTTCCCTTAAGTTTAGGGGACTTTTCTATCACACAACAAGCCCGATGCATTCCTCCACTTCAATCATCTAACTTGAATTATGCTTGATAATATCCCCATCTATTTCTCCATCATTCTGAACAATAGATCCAAGATATATAAAACATTGTACTCTTATTAATGACTTGATCGCCCAAAGTCAAAATCCCCTCACTAGGTCTATTACTACTAAAATTACACTCTATATATTCAATTTTAGATCTACTCAAGCGAAAACCTTAGACTCTAAGGTTACTGAGTAGGTGCTTTTCCATGTTTGAGCTTAATTTATTATCAGCTTGTTTCAAGCTCAATTCGAGCTTTTTTTGTTTTGCGTTTAAGTTTTGTGTCATTTAAAATGATAGATATTTATGTTTGGTTCATTTTCATGTTTATCGATCTTTAAACAAATGAGTTTTATCGAAGTTTACTTTTCTAAATGTTTAGTTTTAACAAATGATCCTTATCAAGCCTACTAACTAACAATTACGTAGTACCTGTTCACAAATATATCTAGCAAGTATTTTTGAGTTACTATAAAGAGCCTATTCAAAAGCATGTTTAGTTTGTTGTTTTCGAGCTATCAACATGTAAAAAATGATTCTTCTTATAAGTAAGTTTGCTAATGAACACTTTAAATAAACAATCTAACAAATATGAATAAATATTTTTTGTTCATGAATAAATTTATTCTATTGAAAGATTAAAATATAAAATGTGAAATTAATTTTTTATAAAATAAGAATTATTTATTATAATGAAATAAAAAATTATGTTAAAATATACTAAATAAAAGTTTGTAACTTGTCTTAATCAATTCTAAAAGAGCATATTCACAAGCTTTGTGTTAAATATTAATCAAGCTTCTCAACGAGCTTTAATTAATATTGTTCATGAATATAAATGAGCTAAACTCATAGTTGTTCAAGCTTTGATTATTTAACGGATGAGTATTTTAAACATTATTCAAATTTGTTTGATTACTTAAGCAAATGATCATGAATGAGCTGTAATCGAGTCGAGCCATGAGTAAATTTTCAAATACTTGGTTCATTTGCAAGCCTACACATTATTCCTTAAGAATTTTCTCTGTTGTTATTTCTTTTCTTCTTGTTTAAACTGATGCCTTACTGTTTTTTAATGGTATTTATAACTAACATTTTGTTTTTTGCAGAATTGGAGTCTCATATTATGATTCTAATGCCCGACAACTTTTTGTTTTAGAAGTTTGGGAAGAGAGTTCTGGAGAATTTCCCCTGATTGAACTTGGTATTACAAAAACATATTTTTTGGCAGGCATTTTTTTTTAAATCTTCAACGATTTTAATCTCCCTCTGTTGCTCCTCATTATTCGTCAGAAATCATAATAGGAATTCCTGATTCAAATCTCTGCAAGGAATTCCTTATCTTCTCTCATTTTTACTGAGATTTTTCTTTTAGAATAGATATTTATATGGAGTATAGATTTCTATGAACCCAAATCTCAACGTAAAATGGTTGGTGATAAATAATTTCTTTTAGGAAATTGCATATGGAAATTCTTAGGATTTCCTGTCCCCAATTATACTCCTGGAAACTTCTTTTTTTTTTTTTTTTTTAATTTTCTCTGACCTGCTCATGTGAAGTGTTCTTGATGGATGTTGTTACTGCTGCAAAGGTGCTTCTACGAATCCCGTACTCAACGCCTTTCTTTGGTTGACTATACAGTTAAATATCAAGCCAAACCAAATGTTATCTATGCTAGCACAAAAACTGAGGAGTCATTCTTATTTGCCTTGAAGCGAAGTGGTTTGTCGCTGATCTCTAATTACAATAAAGTGTCTCTCTGTCAACTCTCTAATATTGCAAATCATTGCAGAGGGAAATGAGGAAATTGAAGTAAAGCTTATGCGCAGTTCTCTCTTCAGTTATGAACAAGCATGGCACAGGTACATATGGTCCTAAACAGGTTTATCTGTAATAAAAATTGCTTCTTGCAGATCTATTAGTTTACAGCTAGAAAATAAGAATATTGCAGATCATGGTTTTAAATATTTAAAATTCTTTTCTATTTAAATTTCTTATAGTCAGAATGTCTAGAAAATATTAAGTTTAATCATGAAGGTCTCATAGATGTTAAGAATAATCAAAGGTCCTGGGGATAGTATTTTAACCGTTTGACTAAAATACTTGATGTTCAACACATTGCATTCCATATCATGTGAAATATGTTTAGTATTACCTATTTGTTCGTCTTCCTTATTCTCTTCCGAAGCCTCCACACCGATCGAAGCCAATCCGCACGTTCTTCTGATTCCGCTCTAGCTCAACGCCCCCAACTCGAAGGCCCGTTGTTGGTGGTCTAATCGCACCCAACCCGTGAGCGTTCGGCTTGACTCGATCCCGATCAGCTCTATCCACGTGAACGCCTCTGACCGAGTGTCCGCTTCCACCCCGGTAACCATCCTAGCCCTTTCGTACGTTGGCTCCCTATCCGACCACCTCACCAATTTTGTCGAGCCCTAGGCCCCATCACATCGAATATGCCGAACTCTTTAGGCCCGATCTCCCATTCGA